ATCAGGCTTGATTCAGTCCTTTGTTGAGCGCTTCGAAGACAACGACAAACTCGAGGCCGACCTCTTGGAGATGAGCAGAATGGATTCTTCCTGTTGGTGTTGATGGCGAGGATGGGTTTCCTCCTCAGTTTGTTTTGAGGCTTCTTTGATAGTCTTCATGACTGATTTAACCATTCACCAAGTCGTAGAGTCACAAAACAAGAACATATCTACTGTAGCCAGATCCTCAGCATTGGTCCAGAGATGGCATTATACACAAAACCTGAATTTCAAATGAATTTGCATTATACACGAAACCTGTATTTCAAATTGCTGACAAATACTGTATTTATTTGCTGTCATACGGCAAAACATGAAATAGATGAAGAACACGCATTGGTCTCTCTTTAATTTACATGCTAAGACTATGAAAACACTGCCATAGCTTCCTAATTTCGGACAGATGTTAAAAGAATGAAATGCATATTTTGTCCTTATCATGTGACACGATTTACAGTACTAAGCTTCTGAGACAGAAAATATGACATGCATAAATAAAGTGTTTGATAAAACTTTTTTTTTTTTAAACCATTCGACAATTGTTGCATTGATTGTCCCATTTAACATTCACAGAACATTGTATTTAATATTTTCAAAACAACTCATGATAGACTGTACACAGTAAAATTGTATGGCGATATTTTTTATTATTTACATTCTGTATTCAAATTCAGGACCTCACAACCGTGAGGCAGACACTAGTCCGCCATACTGCAAAAATGTGGATCATCCTTAAATCAAACACTTGAATGAATACAAAAAAAAATCGACACCAATTCTTTTAATAGAAACAGTTTCCAGAATATTGTTGTGAATGTATTTTCAGGTCATTCAGTATTTTAGTTTAATATTTTGTAATACAAAAGGTGGAATGTTGAATACTGTCACCATTTATAATTTGTGTTGCAAATAACCAATTTACTCAGATGCTGTTTGCTGGACATGATCGTTGCCTTGTTGTGGCATCTCTACCTCTCCCTCAAGACTACTGAAGGAACTGCAGCTATCTGTGTCAGCCAGAGAGGCCGATACCATTTCTTTGTGTAATTCCTCCACTCGGTTATCCTCATGTCGTCCCTCTTCCACCCTGGCTCGAGACTCCGGCGTTTGCCCGGCTTCTACCAGCTGAGCCAAGGAAGGTGAGAAGAAGGGCGACAGAGAGAAGGGCACATTGGGGGAAGCAGATGGAGACTGATAGGGGGAACCAGAGAGGGACAGAGGAGCCCTGGGCGAAAGAGATGGGAACTGATAATGCGAGGGGTTGGGTTGAGAAGCGGCAGGAGGGTCGCGAGGCGTGTGAGACATTTTGGGAGGAAGTGGCGGAACTGATTCAGCGGGATACGAACAGAGTGAGGGGGAGACTGAGGATGTAATGGCTGGGGATGGTTGCATGTAGTCGGTGTTGACAGGAGGATGCTCCACCAAAGTGGGGAGTCTGACTTCCATTATTTCCTCTGCAGATGAGGGGTGAACGGCTTGTGATGAATGACAGTCCTGGGATGCAGGTGAAGTCAGGTTTTGGACTTTGCGTTTTCCTCTAGTTTTGGGCATAAGAGGGGGCGGGGGCGGTGGAGCGAGCGGAGGCAACATAAGGGATGATGTCTCTGTGGACACCCGCACCTTGAAGCTTCGTTTCATCAGGCGCCGCTTGGACGGGATGCTGTCGGATTGCAGGAAAAGAGGGTTGATAAAGCAGAGGGCGCCCAGGCCCGAGCCGCAGTCCAGCTCCCTGGGGCTGCGTGTCTCGATGGGACAAAATTCACGGAACAGGACAGAGTTTGGGCACGATTTTTGGGGACAATCGTCAATAGTCATCTGGTTGACCGAGTCAGGTTGTGTAGCGGAATCAGGCGGAGCTGAGGAGGGTGGTTGTGGGATCGTATCCTGTTGGGGTGAGACTAAAGAGTTTGGCGTCTTGTCCTTGTTCGTCTGGGTCTTCGGAGGCTCCCGTGGCCCCCGGACATTGAGGTGTGAACTCCAGAATTCTAGTGAAGAAATCGATGGGTGTTTGTGAACAGTAATTACAGAATGTCATAACTGAAATCATGTCAACTCACATTAATGTTGATCCATAAAACTGGAGATGAGAAGGATAAAAAAAAAAAAAAAAAAACTTTGCTACAAAAATGACAACTTCAAAACAAAATGGGTGGTTTCCTTTTTGTAATGGGGCATGGATCCTTGAGATTTCCAAGCATACTGTTATGATAAATATGTCCACCCAATATCATGCTAATCATTGAAATGGTAGGCTTTTTTGATAACTTTACAGGGCATGCTACGGAATGGGTCTTTTGGAGTTGTGTTGGAGACCCCCTAAAATGTGATTTTATTTATTTTGGGGCACACTGAAGCCCTCAAAAAGGCAATGGTTTCAAAGAAACAAAAATAAACTGATCCACAGAGGGCTCCCAAAAAAAACCCCCAAAAAAACAAAAAAAAACTAAATATGTAATTCACAAGCATATTTATCAGATTTTGGGAGAAACCAACCTATTCCCATGTGAGAGATGGACTCCAGCTCTTTGTGGGAGGTTGCTTTTGCGATGGCCTCTGGAAGCTCCAGGGGAAAGGGTAATACATCTCTGGTACAAAAGTATCATGAGTTAAAAAAAAAATAAATATATATATATATATATATATATATATATATTTTTTTTTTGTACATACACAGTACATTATTCTGACCATATAACAACAGGGCGCATTGCATGGCAGAATTAGTGGAAAAAGATTTTTACCTGCTGACACAATAGAATGAAACGAGTCTTGGAAGGTCTGGAAAACTGATGGCTGACGTCTCCAGAGACAGTGCTGAGATTGACAAGTGAAGTGTTGTGACAAATACTGTACTGCAGTTTACTGATTCTGCTGATCATTTGCAATATTTTAAAAAATGTTTATTGGAACTTGAAAGTCAACTGGTACCATGGGGTGTTTTGTGTCAAATGACTGAATGCTTAATTATCAAGACTCACTTGAATGTTCCTCCCTGATGCCAAACTGTTGCACAAAGGACGGCACACTGTCATCCACCAGCCGCACACACAACACATTTCTCTGGGACGTGCGAGACCTTCGCACCAGGAATGCCTGCAAGGCAACACATGACTGGATTGGCAAGTTCAGAAAGGCTAAAAAAGCCAAACAAGGGAGTGGTTTTTTTTTTGTTTTGCGTGTCTGACCCCTGGAGGCTCCCTCTGCAGAATGTGCAGGGCGGTGGCAGGGTTGATTGACAACTGCATCCAGACGGGCACCGTTAACAAGAGCCGGTCCAGGACGCTGATGTTCTTCAGAGACCCACCTCCACGCTGGTGGCCCATGAACTTGCGCTCTGACCCCTGGTTGGGCTCCGGAAAATCATACAGAGGCTCATCTTGCTGTGCCATCTATAAAATCAAGAAATCACAAACATGTATTGCACTTTCAAGTGAAATTCATCCATCCATTTTCTACCACTTATCCGGGGTCAGGTCACGGGGGCAACAGTTTTAGCAGGGAAGCTCAGACTTCCCTCTCCCCAGCCACTTCTTCCAGCTCTTCCCGAGGGATACCAAGGCGTTGCCAGGCCAGCCGGAAGACATAATCTCTCCAGCGCGTCCTGGGTCACCCCTGGGGCCTCCTGCCAGTGGGACATGCCCGGAACACTTCACCGGGGAGGTGTCCAGGAGGCATCTTACTCAGATGCCTGAGCCACCTCATCTGACTCCTCTCAACGTGAAAGAGAAGCTACTTGGCTCTGAGCTGCTCTGGGATGACCGAGCTTCTCACCTTACCTCTAAGAGAGAGCCCGGACACCCTGCGGCGGAAACTCATTTGGGCCGCTTGTATCCGGGATCTCGTTCTTTCGGTCACGACCCACAGCTCGTGATCATAGGTGAGGGTGAGAATGTTGATCTCTCGATACATTGTACGCTTCACCTTTTGGCTAAGCTCCTTTTTGACCACGACAGACTGATACAAAGTCCGCATCACAGCAGACGCTGCACCAATCGGCCTGTCGATCTCCCACTCCATCCTGCCCTCACTCGAAATACTTAAACTGGAGTAGTTTAAGTATCTCCAACTGTTCAAATATTTTAATAAATTCAATCCATTGCAGCAGGTGTGGTTCATACAAACTCAACAAGCTGCAACCCAAGCTTTTAAAACAGGAAGCACTGCACACACCTGCGTGATAAATCCTGGACTGTGTCAGCAAGTTCAGACTTGGTTCACGGGCAGACGCAGCTTATGGGGAGCTGTGGAAATAAATGCGGAAAATACAATGTACACACAGAATTGACAACAGCATTACAGTACAATGCATTATGTAACATGAGTGAAACATGTATACGGTTCATATTTCAACATCATCATCTAAGGAAAGCTACTCAAACTTACAACAGGAATGCTTTTACCTGGTTGCCCCTTTCACACTTTTGAGTTTCTTTGGATAACACAACATGCTTCTATTATTATTAATATAAATTATTAATATAAACTTCTATGGAAAGTAACACTGAGGCCTGTCATAACATGCGCTCCACGTCCAGAGGTGTCTTCTTTTCTCTCCTTTTCCCTCCTCTACTCTTGTCTTCCTTTTCCTCTTCATTTCATTTCCTTCTTCTACTTCGGGGGCTCCTCCCCTCTCACCTGATATCACCTGGAAATATTTGTGAACTGGATTAACATATTTAGCATTAAATAGCTAATTGTGATAATGAAGTGCACAGCGATCGCACTAAGTACGATTTAAACGATATTTCAAGGAATGCTTCTTAAAAACATGTCGTACTTTGGCTATGACGTCACAGCATTCCGTTTCTGAGTTACGTAGCTCAGAATTTAGCGTTGCTTTAAAAAATGTTTTGTCAAGGGTACGCACGGGAAATTAAACTAAAGATACCTTATTAATATGATCTATTTTATTTGTGTTTATTTTTTAAACGCCTTCTTTGTATTGAGAAATACGTAACGACGGTTCAGTTTTGTGCCGAAAGTGCGCCCCCTGTTGCCCTAAAAAAACCGAGCCGGATGTGCAATTTGAAATACAGCTTCGGGGACCGCGTTGGGTAAGGACTCCGTCAGCTAAATGCTAAACGAAAATCGTTGCTATTCCCGCTTTGTTCATGTGAAAGTGGCACCGTGGAGCTTACTCGCGTAAACCCGAGTTGTATTTTACTTCTGTGCTTCAAATTAGGTGAAAACGCATGAAAGAGGTTCGTGTTGTGATATCGCTGGCAGATCTAAGCTACTTTAGCTAACGTTAGCCAGCTTCTACAAGATGTCGTTTCCAGCCGTCGCGTCGCCGGCCTTACTTCCTTCACGCTATTGCTTTTATTATATAGTTCCCCAGTTTAATACAAGTAAAGATTGTCCTTGTCCGCACACATTAAACGGTATATTTGGCCCACGTTTAGGTCTATGACGTGAAGCTAACAGGTTTATTTGTTTAGCTAATGTACCTATTAGCCCAAGTCAACTCGCTCCGATTCAACTTTTTAAAATAATCCTCCGTCGCAGAGATGCATAGGCGTAGTCGCCGAATTAAATCGGCAGTCATTACCTGTAGTCTCATGAAGTGCTTCTCAAACTTTTTTTATGCCAAGTACCAGGTAAAAAAAAATAAACAAAACTCTCGCCATCATGACCAACGTGAACTGTGGTAGCGTACTCTTATAAAGTATATTTAATATTTTCGTAAAGCACAGGAATTTATGCACATCTTGATCACTGACATTGTTCATTTGGGATTATATATTGGGGGGGGGGGACTACCTAAATAATTATTCATTTAAATTGTCCTCAAGTGCCGTTTGTTTGTTTGTAATATTGCCTTGATTTGTGATGGTTTCATGCTTTTATTCCTCAGAAGTTCAGAAAGCAAAAGATACATTTATGAATATATTTACTTGAAGCATGTACAGTATACGTTTGTATACCTTGTCGCACAATACATCTAATAATTTTGTCATTATGTAACTCTTTAAATTCCCTGAATGGGGTCACAGTTGAGTTTTGTCATTGTCATTTTTTATTCATCTAATTTATTAATCCACGATTTCCACAATGGTGCTTGCAGATGCCTGGTTGTTCCAGAGATGAGTGGCGACAACGTCAAGTTGTTTGTGGGAAACCTTCCTCTAGATGCGACCCAAGACGAGATCAACAAGCTCTTTGCGCCCTACGGGGAGATCAACACCTGCTCCTTGCTCAGACAGTATGCCTTTGTTACCCTGAAGGGAGAAGGAGCTGCTGACAGGTATTATCACAGTGAAGTTTTCCCTCAAACATTGTAAACTTCAAGGACATTTATGAGGGTTACGGGTCAGTTGGTCGCCAGTCAATCGCAGGCCACACACAGAATCATTCACCTTTCATGTACATTTACTTCGCAATGTGGTAGAATGCATTTTTCAAATTTTTCCTTTTCCCCACAGGGCCATCCGGCATCTTGATGGCAAGGAGTACCGAGGCAGACCCCTTGTGGTGGAGGAGTCGCGCGCACGTCCCCCCAACTCCACCAAAGTGTTTGTGGGGAATCTGAGTGCGACATGCTCTGCCGATGACCTGCACGGCCTCTTCTCGACCTTTGGAAGAGTTTTAGATTGTGACAAAGTCAAAGGTGACATCCACACTCACCCAAATGCAAAGAATACTTGTGTAAATACGTTGAGTATCCATTAGTATATACCTTTTTATGTTTAAGGAAATATTAGGCTGGGTTTAAACCTGCATGGTTCAAGTGACACAATTGCAATTGAAGGAAAAGAAGGAAATCATATGTTTTTTAAAAAGCAGGAATATGCTTGAATTGGAATTGGGCAGTTGGACCTGCAGTGTAATGCTTGATTTGTTTTCTTCTGATCACAAACAGCATTCTTTGCTTTGTCTCCTACAGCCCGATTATGTTCAAATGTGGGCTATGCATTTGTGCACATGGAAAGGAAAGAGGAGGCCATGGCAGCAATCGACGCGCTCAACGGGACCATTTTTAAGGGCCGGCAGCTGGCTGTAGAGCTCTCCAAAGCTCAACCTTTGGTCAACCAGCTTATGACGTCTGGGAATTCAGTCGGTGTGTTATTCTTTTTTTTTTTTTTTTTTTTGTAGGTTTTGAAACAGTGCTGGAAATAAAAACAACTGAAACCTTTGACGTCATCATGCTTCCCGCTTTTTTTTTTCCTTGCAGGGGGTAGAGAGGGTCTGCTTCCTCGGCCAGCTGGCTCCATGGAGCATCACCAGAGTCATGCTGCTGTGCTGGCGGCGGCTGCAGCAGCTGCAGCTGGACTTCCAATACAAGTAGGGATTAAATGATTTATTGAGAAATGATACAATTTCAAACACTCACTATTAGCATTTTAAATGTTAATTTTGCTGTTACCATCTGAGTGAGTGTAATGTGCTTTGTGGCTCCTTAAAGAAGGTAGAGCCACGGAGAAAACCACAACCAGAGAGTCCACTCATTGCTGCAGTGTAGGGAAACAGGATGTTAGCCCTGAAGTGCAACTGGTATCCCTGACTCCATCCCTCAAGTAGTAGACTGAGTACCCCTGTTCCGCTGCTTCTGCTGCTGCTACGGTCTTGGAACCCTGAGCAGGATCGGCAAACAACACATGACAAAAATCTTTTGAAAGCTTTAATATAGCTATCTTGAATTTAGTGCCTTTTGATGAATGCTAAGATAATTTCATTTTGTCAAAAATGACCCCATCTGTTTGTGTGGTCTGGCTTGATGGAAAATCAAAAAAATTTCAACGGAATGTTCACCAGTTTGTGGAGCAAAATCTGTCTTGTAAAACACTGGCTATTGTGTCAAATATTTGCATTTAATTTTTTGTCATATGTTTTTAATAAAGACAATAGTACTACCCTGTCAAATAAGAGGAGCATAAAATAGAATCTGCTTGTATGCACACTCAAGTCCTTGTACATTGGTGTGTTGTGCCTTAAAATGGCGTGGCCTAATGTGTGCTTTAGCTCTCCTTGCGTGCTCTCTCACACTCTCTTGGAGAGCAGCTCTCACAGTACAGATGCGGTTGGCTAGGCTAACACTGCATTCATCTTCCAAGTTTTCTCAATAGCAAGAGTAGTGCTTCTTAAAACACTTGGTATTTTCACTTTCCATGGAGCCAATTTAATCTAATTAACAGTTAAGAAAACAAGAGAACTGAATAATTGTACCCTATGTGAGGGAAAGTACAAGTGATTTTACATTTTCCCCGTCTGGTTTTCCAGGTTCAACAAAGCGTCCATAACTCGTTCTACAACACCACCTCCTTTGACCCTACCTATGCCGCCCTGAAAGGCATTACAAGTTCAAAAGGCGCCGATGGCGTCATATACGGCGCTCTCGCGAGCCAAGTTTACGGATCCGTCGCCGACCAGGTGTACCAGGACATAGCCAATCACACCGTTGCGCCTACTGCCGCTGAGGAGTACGAGGCTCACAGTACACCAGATCCAACAACGCTTTTCGAGGCTGCAAGAGCTAAGTTCTTCCAGGAGGGACAAAAGGTCTTTAGATTTAGCAACTACAGAACAGCACATCAATTTTGATGTTTTTAGTATGTGACTTTTCTTTTTCTTTGGGTCAGGTTCTGGCCGAGCAGCAGGCAGGGAGAAAAACAACCGCAGCAACAAATACAACAACAAACACGACGACAACCTCGGGAACATCAGAAACGGAGCGAGACCGCAGTCCGATCAGAGGGAACCGGATGCCCTTGCTTCCGGACCCATCTCCCGGTTCCTTCACTCAGAATCGCACTAAACGCCGAGCTCTTCTGCCAACACCACCCGGGGTAGTTGAAGACCCCACAGCTGCTGAAGGGACCGATCCTGTTGCTAGGTGAACAACCAATGAACCATTCGTGTGTTGATTCCCATAAAATTGTTAGATCAAACCTACAGGACTAAACATCTGTCCGCCTATTACTCACATGCGCTCTCACGCAACAACATGGCACTTTTTTTATATGCACTTTTGGATCATTTATATTCATTCCACTTGGAATGTGGAGCTAATCAACCCAGGCTTGGATACTACCTTAGAAGGTGGAACATTTCCTGAGCTGTATTTACTGCTTTGTGTCTCTTTTTGGATAGAACAAAAAAAAAAAAAAGGGAAAAAAATTACAGCTTTTACAGCCAGTATTAAATTTAGCTAGTTTTCTTGCTTCAGACTGATGCGTCCTTTTTGAACAGGTCCTACACAGAATATTACCAGCAGATGCATCAATACCAACAGTACCAGCAGCAGTACCAGCAGCAGTATCAATACCTCCAATATGCCTACACCAACCCTCCTCCGCCCCCTCCTCCACCGTCCACCACAGATTCCTCCAGCTCAGTCCCGCCGCCCCCTGGGACGTACACGGCCCCGCCAGCTTACTCAGCCACCCAAGACTACGGACCCCCGGGCACCTACGACCCCCCTGCCAGTTACAATGCGTCATCGCAGAGCTACTCCGGCAACTACGATGCCTCGGCCGCCTACGATGCATCGGGAGGCTACGGGGCGCTGGGAGCGTATGATACATCCGGAGCTTACGCGCCGGCGGGAAGCTACTCCGCATCCACACCGTATGAGCAGACACCTGCACACGGGCACCCCATGCCCCAGCGCAATGATTACCCTTACAACACGCCAGAACCCCCTTACCGATAAAACCAGCTCCCCCACATTCACCCCAACACACACACACACACACACACACACACACGACCTTCACACGGTAGATGTGTGTGTGTGTGTGTGTGTGTGTGTGTGTGTGTACGTACCTACGTACATGAGTACTTGGCTAAGGGGCAGTTGAAGAGAGCAGGCAGGGAGGCAGCAAGGATCTAATTTGAATGAAGCATTTTGGCTAAGTGCGTCTCCATCTAGCTGGAATCAATTCCACGGGACAATGAATTTATCCAAATTAAAAAAAAAAATACAATCGTTGATGAGGCACAGTTGGTTTGATGCGGATGAAAGTCAGTGTGTTTGCTTGGATCAGGGTTTTGTCTTGGCTGTTATGTAATCTCGGGGGTGGACATGTGAGGCGCGGACTCTTTACATCAGGGGTCCCCAACCTTTTTTGCCCCACGGACCGGTTTATGTCAGACAAGATTATCACGGACCGGCATTTAAGGTGTTGCGGATAAATACTACAAAATAATATGGTAAGAGCTGCATGAACACTGTGGTGTTTTCTTGAGATAATAATAAACACGAGGAGCGTCTAATCTGGCCGCAACACTGATCGCTATGGTAATGTTTAATGCCTTCAAAATATGATACAACGCAAATTCAAAGTGCATGAAAATGACGAGTCACCACAGCCCCGAGCTTGATTTTCTGCAATCAGACGGTCCCATCTCGGGGTAATAGGAGAGACAATGACACCGCAAGTGTGTGGTTTATGTCCAGTCTACTTCGTAATTTTGTTTTCGTCGCCGTTGCTGCATAATCCCCCCCCGCCTCACACAGGTAGGATGTCGGAAATAGCAAAAGTGCTATTGTGGCGATCTCAGAGTATTCAGACATAACTTTAATCCAGTTGTCTCGAACGTACTTTTAAGGCCGCCGTCATTTGCGATCTCCAGCAGTTTTTTTACTCATTTTGCGAGCTCCGGTGTTTGTTTTTAGCCTAATTGGTCGCGTTACGGAGAAGCGTGGCTTGACGTGTGGGTTGGGGACCCCTGCTTTACATGCTTGAACCCATGTTGACAGAAAACCAGCCAGTTTGTGAGTATGTTGGCTAAATGTATACATTTTGAAAGGACATACTGAACCCCCAGTTTTAGTTTTTGCCCACCCAAGTGAGTCCCCAAATTGCTCTTCTGTTCAGAGCGTATAATTGGCATCATCACAGCAGCATTTACTAAAAATGTCATCATTTTAATTACACTTTGCTGCTGTGATTTGGTGATGTTCTAGGAGGAGGATATTATTATGGTTAGTTGTTTTTGGGAGTCACTCCAGCATTGTGACGTTAACCAAAATGTTGATGTGGCTAAGTCAGTTTGAGATCTCTCATGCTCAGGCTACTCAGGCAAACATTTCTTTCCATTCTCCTTTTTGTTGCATAGTCCCAGCATCATCAGTCCCATCAAAATTCTTTGTTTATTCTCAGTCACCACATATTGGATATTTTCTCAGGCAGTACATATGTTTTTTTTCCCGACAATTCTTAAAGCCAGTAAGCTCACTTGGGTTCCAACAATCTAAAATCACTCTTCCAAGTGTGACGACTCGGCTGCATTTCGTACCTGACATTTTTTTTTTATTTGAGACTTATGTAAATACTTCTAGTCTTCTTTTTATAAATTGAACATATTGTCAGCCAATATTCGGTTTCACTGCAATATTGACAGTTCAGAACTAATAATTGGAGATTGTAGGGGGAAAGATGTTGAGTTGAACAAGTTTGTATAGAAGCAGGTTATGGGTTGTAGCTGGAAATTGATGGTACACTGATTAAGCTAGTGCAGGGTTTCCCAAAGTTTGAAATTGGAACAGTTGTGCTTGGATGCGATCTTTAGTTGTAGAACGGTGGTGAAGAAATCTGAGGACCCTTTAAATGGTTTCTTTTCAAATATGAGCAGAACCATGCGAGAATCGATGGCTTTTTGGTCGCTTTTGCCCCCTGGAAAAGCACACTAACGCCTGGATGTGTTTTCATATTTGGCTTCTCGACCTTTTACATGTGAGTACAGTAATTACAATGCACATCTTCAGCTTCAGTCATTGCTCACTACTTGAGCGATAGCCTCATTCATGCGCACACACGCCACACTATTCCAGCTTCTCCATGTAAACTTGTTAGTTGCATGCCATGTTGTTGCTGCTGCTCCAGCCACCTTCTTCCTCTTGCTGATTATTGCAGCTAGAGTGGGAGGGAGCCAAACTCTGAGCCCTTGCCTTGGACGTGCGCCGCTGTAGCGCGGGATGGGGGAAAACAGCAGCGTTAGGCTCCCCCGAAAACCGCTGTGGACGATGGGGGGTGCCCCCCCCACTAAGGTAAACACTCAGACCACACACTCCTGCCCCGGCCGCCCCGAAAAAAAAAAAACCCCAATATCACAGTTTGCAGATGCTGACGCACACACGCCATTGTCCAAAGGTCTTTTCAGGAAACTCCTGACTTGAGTTTTCACCCTTTTGGATGTTTTGTTTTATTTTGTTTTGTTTTTTAAACCCCCTGTCCAAATCCACCAAAATCATTCTCATACATTCCTGCCCCCGAAGACCATACATGTGTGATCTTTGAAGATGGCGTCGAAGCAGGCACATCCAGAGCTGAGGGGTAGGTCACGTCATTAGAATGGTCTCTTTTTTTTTTTTTCGCCCTTCTTACACTGGTCACTTGAGGGTCAAGTGCCTTGCTTTGACGATAACACCGCTAGGCGCTCCTATTCAGAGGCCGACATGAAGCTGGCGCAGGATCGTTTGCTGGGTCAAAGCTCAACTCATCCCCACGTTCCCTTTTCAATCTCCCACCGTGACAGTTTTCAATGCCACTCTCAACCTGTATGACAAATTTTTCATTTTGTTTTAAATGACATTTTGTCGAATGTTATTTTGAAATGTTTAAAAATCAATAAAAAAAACATCCAACCAACGGTCTATCTTTACTGTCTCGATGCTGCTTTCTTTAGTGCGCGTGGAGTCATTTAAAAAAAAACGTGACAACTAAAGCATTAGATGACGTTTTATTCCATTACCTTCCAAATACATCACCTCTTGCTTCAAACCTGCCATGTCCATTACTTTTTATGCAAATGAAAAAGGAGTAAAATTGAGTTTCATGCCCTCACAAACAGATGGAGATGTCAATTGTGACAGTCAAAGCAGTCTACACAGATGGTTATATATACTGAGGTAATAATTCTAAGACATCAATGTTCTTCAGTAGACAAAGCAGCATGATACTGCGCGTACAGCGTGGCATGACATTTCTTGCTTTCATGCTGGTTTTGGTAGACTTCCATTATGCAAAAACGAACAATTACCAACTGAGAACTTATGAAAAGTTTCAACCTGAAAGAACTCCTTTCTAGAGCTCAAACTAGCTACATTTGTCCTTTGACTCGTGTGAGTGCTGTGCCAATTTTATGAACCATTTTTCAAGTGCCATCATTTTGTCTATTCCGTGTGTGAAGATCAAAGTTGCTGGTACTTGATATAAAGTGTGTTGTCCCATCTATCACACTGGAAAACCTCTGGTGAGAAAATTGCCACTGTATCTTTGTTTTTGGGGTTATGTGGCGTCAAATACTCGCTATCTTTGCATTCACTCCCCATTTTTGAGAGATTTCCAAGGACTAAAACTCCAAATACTTGCACTGTGCTCCAACTAACAAACATGTAGCTCTTGTGTCTTTCAGGAAATGGCGGCGAAAAGGAACAAGAGCGTAACCTGACAAGGTAATCTGTGTGTTACAAAAATAAAGTTTATAGAGGCCCGTTAAGATCTGTATACTTGCATGACCTGCTGTCTTTGAACTGTGTGCAAAGGATCTGTTCACTTGTCTGACCTGCTGTGATCGACCTGTGTGCAAAGGCCCCGTACGCTCGTATGACCTATGCTTTAAACTGAAAGTAACAGTTGAGGCTTCTCGTGCACGTTGCCCTGGTTTGACGTAATCAGGGCCGAGAAAGACAGGGAACATTTTAATATCTGCTCATGGGCAAACAGACAGGACGAGACTGGGCAAAAACACGTTAAGATACACCGCACAATGTGGACCAGACTCAAGACACGTATTACAGTACTTTGACTTTCATCCGCAAAACCACCACGTGCTGCTGCTGGCATTGGTATGAAAAAGGAGCGAGCGTTCAAACACACAAACATTGGAAAATAGCAAGGCTTTAATAAAGATTGCAATGTCCGGCTAGCTACAATTGGGGTGAGGAAGGGGGGGGGGGCGGGGGGGTAAATTGACATTCATGGAGTTTTACAAAGACGGTAACTGAGTTTGAAGTTCTTTGTGGGTTTTTTTGTGTGTTTTTTTTTTTTTAGCACGGTTTGCATTCCAACATAGAAGGCGGCCTTCAAACCGTTACACACCCCCTAATGTTGTAAAACTGTTGATTTATGAATGTCGATGAATGGAAAGTCCCCCCCCCAAAAAAAATCTGGTTCAAACACACGCAAGTGTAAGCTCACACCCATGGTCATGCTTTCACCGGGCACACGAGCCAATAAAAAGACAACACTTATTCATGCAAAACAACCCAAAAAACTTCCACCTCCAAAACAAAAAATAACACAAACGTTAAAGAGTTCCGATCGTCCGTTGACTTAGTAGAAGCTGCGCTTTTGATGATGACTTTGGTGCAAAAAAAATGTTCCCGTTTCGAAGAGGACAGACCCTGTCCTGCCCTCTTCCTCGATGAAGACACTCTTGGTGTATAGACCAGTTGTGATAGTTGAACATAGACGCCCCCCGCCCACCCCGTTCCCTTTTCCTCCGGACACAAACAAACGTGGCTTAACATCGACCCCTAAATCCCACCAGCTCCCTGGACTATGACACCTTGAAAAAAACACCACCACTCAAACACAGACACGGCAAGAAATTGGTCTCACATACAGTACGTCATCCAAACACGTCTAAAAACACACATGAATAGCATCGCCTATATACAGAGGACACAGTAACAATCAGTTGGTGCTCGACTGAGAAAGAAATATAAGCCCCTGGAACGCAGTATTGAAATAGAGAGAAAATAAAGATTTGGCCAAATTTCAGGCCGGAGTCTCTGTTACAGACTCTACTGGGAACGTAATTGCGCCAACAAAGGATGTTGACTCTTACGTTTTTTTTGTTGTTGTTTTTGTTGCAGAGCTCCTGGAGCCACTTCAAACTGCTGTGTTTCACACACGTTTTAGACCTCGGTGCCTACGACCAAGGTGCGTTCCAAGTACACGAGTAGAAAACCAACCGCTGATCGATTATTGCCCCGTTCGACTGTACTGTACATCCCAGCAATGAGTTTTTTTTGTTTGTTTGTTTTGTTTTTTGTGCAGTCAAAAGGTTTTTGTGCTATAAAGATGATCGCTCATGACCCAGTTCACATTTGCCGTCTCATTAAAGCATCTCATCACGGGCTGTCCGAACTCATCTATCAGCGAGGGCCCTGATCAACAGACGTTTGACGTATCTCACTGACCTTTAGACGTCCAGCACATAAATGTTCACACTACGCTTCGACACTGCGGTAATTACCCTTGTCTAGTTTTTCTTCTTGTGTTAAATCACATTTCTTCTTCCTCAGTATCAGAAGGGACATCATTATATACTCTTGGGGGGGAGGGGGGCTTTGACCTTTTTGGATCGGTCTGGCATTCATTTATATAAAAAGCATTACTATACATACTCCTGATGCGGACATGAGGGGTATGACAAAGCCTTTTTTTTTTTTTTTGCATGATATTGCACAGCCGCAGAGCAGAAAACAAAATAAAAATTGTAAAAGAGTTGAGATTACAACCAAATTTTGCAATTCCTGGTTGTGGCTCAGTGCTTTTTGTTTTGTCAGTAGTTTCTGGACAGTTGGCAAACGCGGTCCTGACATCACGTATCAAACAAGAAACAGACGACGCGTGTCTGGAAAGTTCCAGGACTGGCGTCACAGGAGTCACATATGTTAGAAGGATTTTCTCCAAATGTATTTCAAACCCACTAACGCTCTCAGACAATACACGGTCCACTCCAAGGATTTTGTCCTTGGTATCAACCGGCTCTCCTGAAGAACAAACTCAGCAATGTTGTTTATGCAGTGCCGTGGTCTCAATATTGGAGAGACAAAGACGCCGTAGCACAGGCGCATGGCGCAACATTGACGAGAAATTTATGAGGATCCAGACTCAGTGGTTCATTTGCGTCAAGGGCAACGACATCCAAATTCGGGGAATCGCCTTGAAGAGGAACATTTTTCATTCGGGTTTGACATATTCTTGTAACACCAGTCTTCGAACTTTTCTGACAGCGTTTTGGTGAGTGCCCCAATCGATAATCATTCGACATGTCTCACTGACCTTTAGACATCCTATGCATAAATGTTGGCCTTTTTCTTCCTCGGCACCAGAAAGGACCCTTGGGGGTCGGTGACCATTTGTAATGGGAGAGCGTTAAATCGGCGCTCAGTGCATTTTGTCGACATACAAAACCGGGTTACTGTACATAATTCTGATGCCGACATGACTGGTGCGACACCGCCTAACTCCTAAAAGACATGGTTTTTGCACGATATTGCACTGCAGCCGAGGGGAAAACGAAACGCAAGTTGTAAAAGAGCTTTGATTACATCCATATTTTGCAATTCCTGCTTGTGGCTCAGTGCGTTTTGTCAGTAGTTCCGGTGCAGTTGGCAAACACGGTCCTGACATTGGGTACCAAAAGAGAGAGACACACACACACACACACACACACACACACACACACACACACACACACACACACACACACACACACACACACACAAAAGCATGCCCCCTGCACCACGCCCCTCAACTCCCACACCAAGTTAGTCTAATGTGTAGTTGGCAAACTAGAACAAATTCGGCTACAAAACATTAATGATGCGGAACATCGACATGTAAAAACGCTTACAAAAATCTGATGATATCCGACATCAAGTTGATGGTTGGACCAATGGATACAAGACGATAAAAATCTCCCGCACGGGACACACGCGTACACACGCACACCCTTGGCAAAGTTCACATGGAGTAAAGTGCCAGCAAACGATCCAGTTACTTGAACTCCAGGACAGGAGGGAGGGTTGAATTGGAGGTCGAACCGGGGGCAGGGGGAATCAGGTCAGGAGGTGGCAATGGAGCAGCTTCGGTGGTCGTAGCATCATCAAAGGTCGTTTTCGCCAAATCAAATGGTGTGAGCTGTGAGTGGAATATCGGCGCTGAGCTTCAGGCGCCTCTTGGGAGTTTTTAGGGGGTGGGGAGGGGGACCGGTTGGCACAGGGTTTGGGAAACGAAGATGACTGAGTGTTGAATCTTTCTCCTCCTTCTGCGTCCCCTTCTTTCTTCCTCCGCCATCCTTCTGTTGTTTTCACTCTTCCTCTGTGGCGCTCTTAGCTCTGCTGCCATGGTTACAGTATTGTCTCTACATGAAGTGCATCTACAGACAAAGGAGAGAGACAGATTGAGGGTAAGCCAGTTCATCAACACCTCATCAAATGTTGAGGAATTTGTTGACATCCATGATTTTTTTTTTTAAATGACTGAACAAAGCAGCCTTTAGCTTTTTTATCAATATTCTGGTTACAGTGCTGTCAGCATGATGAGCAAAAACTACTACACCTACTAGCATGAAATTTTGTTTGGAGGCAATTAAAAAAAAAAAAAGTGACAAAAGACCCCAGCAAGTGTACTGAGAGTCTTGAGCCGAGAATGTCACAATTATGAGGTACATTTGCTAACCACGAGTGGATGTGTCGCTGTTCAGTACCTGCGTCCCCGGGATGGGTCCGAAAGGATTGGTGGGTCTCAGGACAGGCTGGTTGTACATAACAGGCTGCGGGGGCATCATGGGAACACCCCCCATCTGATGGCTCATCTGAGGGGTGAGCTGCTTATAGCAAGTGCAGGGTGAGAAGGGGGGGGGGGGTTAAAAGTAGATCGCGTCTGATAATAGTTGATTCTTTCCTTTACCATTCCATAGACAGGCACTTGGGGGGTCGTCATAGGAAAAGCTACTGGAGCTGGAGCCTGTAAGGAAAGACAATAATCCCGCCCTAAATCGCTTAAAATAAAGCCAGATGGAATGGTAAAGTGCATTGGGTACTTACATAGCCGGTGTAGATCACCCCGTTCTTTGGAGAGAAAACAAAATACAATTTTATTGGGGCTACAATATTAAGTCCTCGTCTACCCTTCTAATTGACAAGAGTTATTGTAAACCAACCATTTAGCCCAGTGGTACTCTGATCATCCCGACCGATTATCCTGTGTTGTGGAGTTTGTTAAAAGTAGCCCGGATCAAAACTAAAAACCTATTCACTATTTCCAATCGTAAATCCCTGTGTGGGTCAAGTTGGTCTGAGCCACAAATACCAATTAGGAAAGACCAGTGTGTTGTGATGAGAAGATTAAAAAAAAAATCTATGAAAGTGACTCTCACATTAGGCTAACTACCACATGTAAAGCCTTAATGTGTTCTTTCTGGGTTACCATCTGAGGGACGGGCATGGGAGCTGGGGCCATGGGATGAGGCGAATGAGTCCAATTTGTGCTGGTGCACACAGATTTTGTCTGCCAGCCGCTCCCCGCCGTCGGCTTCTTTTCTACCAGCTGACTCCACTGCAGCTCGGGCCTGATGCACACAAGCATGCACTTAAAAATCCTCCGAATGATTAAAAACAGCCAGTTGGCCCTGTTTTTCATGCCCTCCTCACCTTTTGGCTTGTGTCGCCCCAAACTGCAAATCTTTAAGAAGAGTCAAGCAAATTAGCTCCAAGTAAATAACCACCGTGTATAGTTATAAGCTAATACTCACTCCCGACGAGGTTGGCTAATGACGAGTCCAAATCGCTGGGGAGCATCTTTCCAGAGTGCAGCGGGGCTCCCGAGTTGTGAATCTGAGTAGGTGGGACCGGCTTGAGCAAGTCACCTAAGGGGTCGTCATGGTTGTCAAAAAAGAGGATTCTGTTGTTATTGTTGTTGCACTCTACAGCTGTACTGTACCTCCCCAGGCGTTGTTGTTGGGCACAGTGTGTGTGGTCTGAAGCGGGGTGAAGTGGGGCTGCAGGGTGAACAGCTCACTGGTCAGGTTTGGCACACTGCAGGAAGGAACAAAGAGAAAGTGGTCCCATTGGATGTCCGCGTTCTCCCTTTGACAAGTTTGGTCATCCGGCATATATTAAGAGTAGAACCGCTGCCCTTCTGCATCGAGAGGATACTTATGAAGTGGCTCGGGCATCTGTGTAAGATGCCTTCTGTAAGCCTATCCTCTGAGATGTTCCAGGCGTGAATTCTTAACCCAAATAAGTGATAGGTTGGCCTATGTCTTGGAGCGTATTGTGTAGCATAGCACACGTGAACCATAAATATTCTATTAAGGGACTCACTGGTTGTTGACGGCTACAAGGGGTGAGCTGGAGAACAGGTCCGTGGCTCCTCCACTGCTGTTGGCACTGCCCACCGATTGCGTGCTGGGCGACACGTTGGGCGTCTGGATATCGATCATCTTGTGACCGTCATCCTGCACGTATGAGATTGGTGATCAGGTGGCTAGAGTATGCATGCTAATTGAGAGAGAAAGAGAGAGAGATACTTCAAATGTTTAACATGTCTCACCTTGTGTTGTTGCAGTCTGTTGTCCTCTGCCTTGTCGTCCATTCGACTGAGGGAGATCCCGGTGCTGGAGAGGGATGACACCGTGCTGGACAAAGTGCTGGATCTTACAGTATGGTGACACACACACATATATTTATATGAGACACGTTACAATGACACCTTGACTTACAAGTTCAATTTGTCCCATGACTCTAACTCACTTAACTTGGATCTTAAATTGTCAGCGAGACCTGGAATGTTATTGTTGGGAACCCGTCAATACAGGATACTAGATTAAGTAGATTTTAGGCGAGCGAAAGGGTATATTGATAACTGGTCTGACGGTGATTCCCATTTGCTCTGCCTCAATGAAGCTAACATGCTAACATGGATGTTTTTTGGAAAACTAAGCATAGTATTTGAATCCAGAACTTCTCGACTGTCAGGCAGGCTTTTAACCGCAAGTCCCACCACAGTGCACACACGTTTGACGCTCTGCATTCTTACTCTTGACTGTACCTGCTGGCAATTGAGAGGTCTTTGAGCTTCCGGCCCTCCAAGGAGGCTAAATGTTGCTCCAGAGCCTCCAGAAGCGAGTTGGGAGCCTGAGGAAGAGGGAGATTGAATGCAGGGAAGCAGACATATTAGAATTCTGGGCAAAGCGGTTTCGAAATGGGACATTTGAACTCCTTTTTCTTTTTATTCTAATCGTCACACACACACACACACACACACACACACACACACACACACACACACACACGCACGCACGTGCGCACACACGCACGCACGCACGCACGCACGCACGCACGCACACACACAAAGCAGCAGATCACCCTCAAATGGAAAACAGATCTACTCTCAGGAAGCTGATTTTTGTTGTTGGTTTCATTTGGTTGTCTGGCATGCACAGATCAGCACCGTCATGCATGCAGATCCACAACTATCATACCTCTGATCCATGCAGACTGATAGCAGCAAGTTCCTCTATCATCAGCACAAGAACCACACAAATCACAGTCCAGAACATCGAGTTACCCCTTGGATTCCACTGTCAAATCAAATCAAATCAACATATAGTTTGCTCTTTCTTTGGGAAAGTGCAACAATTTGAGAGCACCGGAAACCAAGGAAATGAACTCTGAAATGAAAACGTCTGGTGAGAAAATAGGTATGCACACTGAGCAACTGGCCTGCACAAAAAAACAAGGATGGCTGCTTGTTTGGACTACATGTGATACCTGTGATCTTTACCTCCAGACTTTTTTTCATTTCATCACAATTTTTTTTTCAAACAGTGCGCACACATACACACACACAACAGGCAAAGAAAAAATATCTTGGATACTTATTTTTAAAAGGGAAGGGGGGAAAAAAAAGACAGTAACGTGAATTCTGGATGTCCTTCTCCAGAGAATACAGCTATGGAAGTTTCAAAGTAAAAACAGACACATACAGTATCCTGTGCTCAGTCGAGGCGTGTCGTTGAATAGGCGCGTATAAGGTCTTCATAATCACTACAAACACAGCAGTGTGCTTCAAAACCTGATCGCATCCCAATTTGTTGACAAAGAAATCCAAATAGGCTCGGGCTGCGATATGTAGTGCTGATGAGGACATTATGTGCGCCTGTCCAAGGCATGTTTGCAGAATCCTACATCATTAAACCATTCGCTGCTCTCCCCACAGCTAATGCAAAGTGACCTGTTCTCTAATGGACTGAGTTGTGACCTTTGGTTGTGCGTGTTGTTTAGCGATAAAACATGTTGTCTTTAATCCTGGCGTATCACCAACTCTGCCTATGGAGAAATAAACCATATGGCCAAAAGTATTGACACACCTATTGAAATACACATTCATTGAAGCTCGGAAATGACTGCAGTTGAGGTTTTGGTTTTTCTTTTCAGAAAATACTTGCAAAATTGTACATTTAATCCTGTTCCAACAATTCATCATAGACGCTGTAGAAGAATGAATCAGAAACATAATCGCACGGCAGGGTAAGATGGGTTTAGTCTTTTCTTTTTGATATACAGCAAAATCAGCTCATGCTATTTCTGTTTTGAGGCCCTGTCTCATGCAATCGAGCCACTGCTCAGCATGCCTCCTTTACTGCACAATTAATGCCGAGTACACCTTTCGTTTCCATGATGACCAGCGGCCGAGCTACAACTACTTTTTGTAGTTTCACTCGTAGCCGCATCGCTTCATGTCCAAGTCACCGAAATTACACTTGTTAATTCGCGTGTGGGTCTGTACATCGGAAAAAAAAAAATCTGACTCAACCCCAATGGCAACAACTTTACTGAGCACAGTATACAATACAATTTCTTTCTTTCTTTCTGTTTTTTTCTTTTCTTTCCTTCTTTCTTTCTGTAGTTCTTCTATTTGGTTATTTTTTTGACCACCTATATGGCCAGGAATTGTAAATACTTTTGTCCATATGGTGACTCTCTGGCAGATTGGGGACCAAAAAAAAATCACCTTCAAAAATGTTGCTCGAGACCACAAAGTGAATGTAATTTTTCGGAAATAATTTGTCCCTTGTTGTGTAAATTGTCTTTTTTTTTGTGCTTTCTCTTCTCTAGAAGTGAGTTGAGATGTAAAGCGGGAGTGGGGGTGCGGGGGAGAGAGGAAAAAAAGGAGACGTGGAAGGAGAAGTGAAGAAGAGAGAGGGCCAGCTGCAGAGTGGGCAGGTCTGTAGGGTGAGTAGGGAACGGGAGCGCTTTTAGAATGAAGCATTATGCGATTGACTAGATGGCTTTTTCGACGCTGCTCGATTGGCGGCTTGAGATGAGATGTGGACTGACCTGTGTGAGATCGGGGCTGTCGCCCTGATCTATCCCAACTTGCTGTGTCACAAAAAAGGAGGGGGGGGAGAGGAATGGGAGGAAGGAGGGAGGCAAAATAAAAATGAACCAAACGTCGTAACAAAATGAGTAAAACAAACAGACTGCATTTTTTTTTTTAAAGAAGGGTGGGGAGGGAAAAAGGTGTGCGGAGGAAGAGGAGGAGGGGGGAGAAAGAAGTATCAAACCCGAGCATTCATTTCTCCATGCAGAGGCTGAAACAAATAAAAGACAACATGGGAGGAAGGAGGGGGGCGCATGCACACGCCTACAAAAATCTATATATACACACACACACATACACAATAATACATGTGCACACATACACACTACTTCAAATGAATGCTGCAAGGCGAGACAACAGGTCACGTGACATCAACTAATGTTGACTTTGAACGCAAAAAGAGGAGGGATAGAAGACACACACACACACACACACACGCATACACATTGAAGTTAATACAGGAAAGGCTCCTTCAAGTCAACGTTAGTCTACTTCCCAAACCGTCTTCTGAAATGGGCGCAAAAAGCAAGTGGTGAGGATGCCTTCTTAAGTGTGAGGACTAACTAAGCGGGAAGTTAGGAAAGAGAAAGAAGACAGAAGAATAGAAAGGGCACAGAGGCTCGGTCGGGCATGCAGTGCAGGCTTTTTAAATAGGCAGCACTCGGGCCTTCCTCCAGTGGACGCTTTGTGCCAGCGTCCCTCTGACTCAGCTGTTCATAGCTGACCCAGTGCATCCTCTCCCTGAGATTTCCACAACCGAATGCAAGGCGCTTTAAGCGGCCTCACCAGCGACATAGACCCACTCTGTTGTTTTTTTTCTTTTCATTTTTTCCTAAAGAAATCAATGAGCAGAATCATCAGGCAAGCTAACAAACACTTCTTAGGAATCAAATTAATGGTAACGGATCCCCCCACCCCAAAAAGAAAAGTTCAAAGCCGGTAAAATGTAACCAATATTAAACTTTTGGTTAAATTTCTTACGATTCACTCGTTAATGTAATCATTTCCCTTTTTTCTGAACTGACTTTCAGCCTACATTCCCACCCTTTCCTCCTCGTCCGTTCCCGTGCTCCTCCTTATCTCCTACCCCTGAGGATTCCCCCCGTCCCAAACGTTACCTCGGCCACTTTGAGAAACTCCGAGAGTTTGGTCATCCTGTTGAGGAAGGTCTTGTAGAGCTCCAGTGCCTCTTTGCACTGGTTCTTCTTCATGTCAAAATACTTCTCTGCGTAGAGAGAGTCACAATATGCGCACGGTCACGTTGTCGCCATGAAATTGGACATATTGTTTGTTTAGTTCCACAATTTAGAACAGTTCCCACGTGTCTGACACACTTTCATCAAAATATTCCAAGGCTCAACACCATACAAGTTTTGCAACAAGCAGCAAATAAAGAACATAGGTTGAACCCCTAACTTTGGAAAATGTAGCTTGAGGAGTTTATTTTCATTTTCTGCTGTTACACTTAACTTGCATTGGGGCTAAATGGGCACTGTGACCCACCAGATCCAAGATATGGAGGCAGTAAGCTCTCCATGTTGTGATGTTCCGGACTGTAGGATTGACATTTAATATGGTTCCACCTTGGCTCAGCCACAAGCAGGTCTGCAGGTGATACCTAATGAAGTGGCCAATGACTACATGTTCACTGCGAGTAGTTTTTACCCAGCATGTTGATGACACCCTCGTTGTATGCGGCAAACAACCGTATGGAATCTTTGAAGAGCAGCATGAAGGCGGTGTTGATGACGCCGTTGCTCAGCTCGTTGGAGTTGGGCTGCAGGTTGGAGTGTACGCACACCGACTCAGACCAGATGGCATCATCGCACCCGGTGACGCCGCTGTTTTGTATCAAGTGCTTACCTGGAAATCCAGCAGCGCATCCAGCTGGTTCTGAATGATCGGTAGCGTCTTAATCAGCTTGTCTGTGTTCATGGTGCGCATCACGCCGTCGGCCCTGGTAACACACACGCACACACACACACACACACACACACACACACACACACACACACACACGCACACGCACACACACATTATTATCTTGTATCCTGTTTACATGCTTAATCCGTACTCTATGTAATTTTGTTCTTAAAGGTGACAACCGATTTTGGGGGTGCGGTTTTATGCAAATGAGCTTCTGCCTCCCGTATTGCGCAGCCAATTCCAGGTATAACTTTTGTTACCGCGACAGCCGTAACAACACCCGTAAAGAGTAAAATCAGGGAGTGTATTTTCACTCGTGGAGGCAGCATTCTAAGACGATGAATTAGTCTAGTCAATTCGTATTGTAGAGTCAGTGCAGTGGCACATACAGCAGAAGAACAACTATCTATTATCACAAAATATAGGATCACATCAAAAACTCTCAACAAGGAAGTAGAATAACATGTTCATTATTGTATTTTCACTGGTGGAGGCAGTGCTTCATCATCAAGCCGCGAATGACATTGTCAATCTGTGCTCATAATAACAAACAGGACGACTAATCAAAAACTTTTGGCAGGAAATAGCACACAAACTGGTCTCCACTGATGTGAACATAGCATCCTTGGTGGAGGTAATACATGTGTTGCTTATTGTGGTTGTATGAATGGAAGTGTATTACCCTCGTTTCATCTTGGTAAAGTCCACAGCTGCTAATCGGAACGACATGGCTTTTTCATTCAGGTAGCGACTGTATCGTCTGATGAAGGTGGACATGTTGTATCCTGACGAAAGTGGAGGGGGGGGGGGGAGTAGGTTGCGTTAGTTTTAGAATTTAACCCCAAACTCATCCAAGCACAGCACTCAGTTTAGTGTGTAGCTCGCTTAAGTTTTACCAAATACCCCTGATTGATGAGGTGTGCCCCAATACTTTGCCTATGCTCTGCAGATTTGTCGACAGCGTTACAGTGCCAGGAAAAGACAGGAAGTCATTCGATGGGCAGAAGAACGCCGCTGAGTCAAAAGGGGTCATAAATCACCTTGTAGCGCGGCCTTATCTAGAAAGTTGTTGAGGTTGAAGAGCGTGTTTCTGGAGGCGACGTATTGCATCAGTCTCTGGGAGAAGAGAGAGAAAAGAGAGGAGAGGGAAGTGTCGACAACGTGCTCGTGTTCCGCGTCGTTACTTCTGTCGCAGACAGGAGTTTATGAGCAAGAGGTATCATTTGTCCACATAAAGACCTCAACTCTTCCGAATGACTTTTAAGGATGTGGGGCTAATAAAAGACTCTGTATGTAAAACTAGCCCCAGTGCACTAAAAGTATTGCACCAGCAAATGCAATATCTGCATTCATTAACCCCGCACTGTCATTATTTGGAATGACATAGCTGTCATATAAATAATATCAAAGGGTCATGAACCAAGACCCCCTGTAATTAATGGTAAATGTGTCACTCAACTTGCAGCGAAGTTGCATGAGAATGTTCAAAGAAGAAATAATTCAGTGATTGTATGTCTCAGCATTCACATTAAAAAAAAAAAATCATCATACTCGATAAAGAGTAAACAAAACCATTTTATTAACTTTTAATGGGCGTGTGTGCGTGTGTCTTTCAGCGTCCTCACCTCGTTGCCGTACATCATGAGGTGATGCGTGGCGATCAGCGCCTTGAAGACCACGATCCAGCTGTTGCTGGCTGTGCGCTCGAGCAGCGTGTCTGCCAGGTGAGGGATGCTGACGTTCAGCTCGTTGGTGCAGTGGATCAGGTCTGCGGTATAGAATTCCAAACAACAGAATAAGCCTTAATTAGTCCCGCAATGGGGAATTTACGATTTTGCAACAGCAACGTGGGCAGTAAAAGCACACAAGGAAAATGAAAATACAAACATATCTGTGTACAGTCACATTAGGCAGTGCCTGTGGCAACCATACTGGAATTACAAGTACTATATATTCATATTGGAATGGTAAAAAGATTAGCATTCTACTGTATGTAACCTAAAAAAAAAATAGCTACGTGAGTGTGAACAGCAGCAATACTAGTCAGCAGCATTGCATGTCTCATAAAAATACATGTGTCATTTACTAGTTTATTTATAGGTACCCGCTTATCTATACAGTAGATGCGTACAACGGAAAAATGTGAATGTGAATGGCAGCAAGTATAATCCGTCGCGTTGCATGCAAGTGAGCGGTGTTGTCCGCAACAACAACAAAGAAGCATTGTGAGAGGGAGAAAAAAAATGGACATGCAGCGATTAAGGAGTACCGCAAATGAGCACAGCTGACATTTATGAGCCTTTAAGCTCCACCTCTTTACTTACTGTGAGCCGCTGTGGAGGAAATAAACGGGTCGCGAGCCAAAGTCAACATTTATGAGAGGAGTGTCGTGATGTATACGTCCATATGGGTCCACTACAGGAGGTCAGGTCGATGAGCAAATGATTGTTTAACAATAGCCCAGGTACAGGCGTAGGAATCGGCGCTGCATGGACAAATTCATTGGCCCTGCCGACTCCAAGGCTCTCTTCCACTAAGCGCGTCAATCGAAAATCCCGGCAGAAGACGGAGAGTTACATTATAAAGTCAATCCAGCGGTGGCACTCAATCGAAATCTCTCCACTCATAATGTGAGGAAATGAATCGGCCTCTTATGAATAATTAACCTCATTTTTTTTCCCCCTCCCATGGAGATGAAAAGAATGAAAACTGGAGTTGACTACCCACGTCTCACCCTCCCAACACGTCCATCCAGCGTGTGTACAAAGAAGCAAAATGTCAGAATGCGTGTCTTAAACATGCTTATTTTGATGCTAGTTCTCATAGAAACACACTCGTGCATACACTTAAATGGGGCACGTGCATACTGGCAAATCTGAGTATTTTCACCCTTTTGTGAACAAAGTCAGCAAAGGCCCAATTGTCACATACTGCATTCAACTGTGACTTGCCTAAATTTGGTCTTCCTCTCCTTCATAATATATACGTGACAACCCGAGATTCACACCCAAATCTTGATCTTCAACCCAAAAGCAGTGCTCATCTATTTACTGTCAAACTAAACATAAAACAAAGTAAATTACATGCGTTTAAAACTACCAAGCAACTGCCTCAAGAAAGACTGTCACCGCTGTATTCCGCTTTCTGTAAAAGCCATAAAAAGTCAATTTTCCATGTGTCCTCAACATCATTTCTACATCATTCATTTACATGAAAATGGAGGCATTTATGTTAGATTTATCTATTCAAAAAGCAACATCAAGCTGTATGTACGATATCACGCTGTGCAGTGAGCGGTCACTCCGGGCCTGATGACAAGTTGCATCGGATCCCGCTTCTGCCGCCCATTTAACCGGCCGCGGCTTAATGAAATACCATTTATGCGGCGTGACGTGCTCATCATTTGCCACGCTTTGTAAATAGTTGTGAGCGTTTAAATAGTCGCTCATGCTGCCCCAGCCGGCCCCTATCTCTCTTTGTCAAGGTCACGACACCAAGACGGTGCTGATGAGAGCTCGCTTCGACCGGGTTAATGAGCAGTAAAGCATGCAGAGACAACAATGAATCATGGCTTTAGTGCAATGTGTCACCCAGACTGGTGAGGGTGGAATCGAAAGTCCATAAGGATTGTAACAAAAAAAAAAAAAAAAAGGCCTTGGACATTACAGTTGAATTTTAAATTAACATATGAATGCAACAAAATTTGTTTGATTTGGAAACAGTTCAAGTCGCAAATGATTAACTGAATGCGTCTTGCTTTTTCTTTGGCTATTATCGAAACGTAACTCTCGGGTCATGTTCATTTTACTCGCCGTTCGGCTTATTTGTGGACATTTTTTTCTACAGTTCTTATTCTTTTCATGAAGATAAAATGTCCATTTATATTCTAACCCTTCAAGTTCTAGTTTGTTTGCGCAGATTGTAAAATAAATTCAAAAATGTATTTTTTCAATACGTTCTCACGACAATGTATTTTTTTTTTCTACATTGCAAATATCGCAATCTTTCATTCTTGATTCTCCATATTCAACAGAGGGTCTCTCCTCTTCTTAAAATCAAACTTGAACCCCCCCCCCCCCCAAAAAAGTCAGAGCTGAGATTCAGACTCGCTAACAACTAGTCCACCGTCCTGCCTAGGATAGTGTTTTATTCTTTCAATATAACAGTGGCTACCTTTGTACGTCCATTAAGAACATAAAAATGTTACTCAGAACATTGCTTGTACAGTTAATAAAAAAAAAAAAAAAACGTTCTGCTGCATTGTTTTCACTCGTCTGCAGCAAAGGGATGTGTTTTTTAATCCCCCTCGACAAGAAGCCAGCGTCTCATTATTTTCATCCCCATTGATTCTGTTCCATTTGCGGGCGAGAGCGATTCTTTAGCAGAAGCAAGTACGCGTCTCCTCTTTATGATCCCATTTAACGAGGCGAGCTGAGCCGGAGCAGACTCGTCTCGTGAATTGTTGCTCAAAGACACAAAGACTGCCTCTTCCGGGGCGGGGGGGCTTCCTTTACATTCTCTGTGATCTACGGCAGCCCAAACCCACGCAGCCGGCTCTTCGCAAACACACCTCTTCCCCGTGTCCTTGCCCGACCTTAAAAGCCCATCTAAATGGCTCAAATGTAAACGAGAAAACAAGAGAGTGTTTTGAGCCATGTGTGCAGTCCCTACTTAAAGCTTTTAAACCCACTAAAGGTCCGAATTAGTCAGATCACAAGCCAAAAGCTCATGTAGCCTCTTGCCGGCTCGTTCAATCAGAAAATCGCTGTGTTTCCAAACATTTGGACGCCGCCCCGGTGATGAAACGTTCTCTGAAATGCTCCTTGTGGCTGCGGTGACATTTACTGGTTTGAAGGTGGATGGCCTTGTGTTGTTTAGTAACTGCAGGGCCACTAAGCTAGCGGACGTAACAACGATAAAGGACTGAATCCAATGAGCATGCAGCACATTAGCAATTCATCTTGTTACGGATGGACTGGAAATATTTGTGACCTACTCCATTTTTCTGTCTGGCCACTGGACACAACCTTTAGGTCTAGCTGCCCTATTTTTAATCATTATTGCACAGTGTACTTCAAATAGACGCCGTGTCTCAATTAGTGGCCAGGTATCCCATCCACGAAAGACAAATAAACACGTCCCTAGATAGACCCCTCCCCGCCTCAGGAGGAATAACTGTAACTTAAATGACAGTGTCTAAATATTTTTGGCACGCAATGTAGGTAACCGCTGACCCCATTTGTTGCTTAGCAAAACAGCAGCACTAATCCAAACACAATGCCTCCATCAGAAGCCTTATTTTTCCAGTCCAGGATAAAAAAAATAAAAAAAATCAGAAGTACTATGTCATTTAGTCGACATTAATGTTCACACTCAAAACAGTGAACTGCTAAGCTTATTGCCACTCCCTCGGTGAGCAAAACAGAAGTACAAATGCGCATCTCTCAGACAAATAAACACCTCCCTTATCCATTCATGAAAAACATGAGGTCGGCATAACAATTTCTGTTCATAGACGGTATCATTCACACACAAAGCACTTGTTCTGGTTGAACTCCATCATTAACCAAAACAGCAGCACCTACCAAATCATGTCTTTTTGACAAATGAGGACGAGGGGGGACATGTAACTGTCGTTTTGGTAACACAAAATGGTTAACTCCTGAGCCCATTTGTACTAACTGCTAACTGCCTTGGCCAGCGCGAAGCAGTATAATGCAGTCATACGTATCCAAACAAATAAGAATCACTGCTACTGCAATATTATTCGTCATTATTTTGCAGAGTATAAAGAATATGATATTGACTGTCTACGTGTAGCTTGACAATGTGTGTTCAAATATCTATTGCTTATCTACGTCTTCTTGCTTTGTGTTGTGAGCTAGCTTCAAATATGCCATCTCTTGGGGGGAAAAAGAGCAATTGCGGAAGTGAGATGCCCTCACATGTGGGCAAGGAGAGCCACAGTCGCCCATGCATGCTGCCAGCCGTTTATTTAACGTGACAAACATTCAGAGGCACAAATACAAAATGATAATACAGTACTCGCAAGGAGCTCCTTCAAGCCCGTTTGATCACCTGCACCAAGCCACGCCTCTTAAAGGCACATAAACAGTAATACTGCATGTGCTTTAATTACACGGTTTAAAACCATTTTTTTACCTTTACATTCTCCTGTGTTTTTTATGATACGGTGTTGATTTCAAGTACAATTTGTTTTTTTTTGTCTTTTGGAAAGAATTCATGAAATTTCAATTCATGTCAATGCCTTGCCCTCTTTTTTTCGAGTGTGATCCATTATACCTGTGCACTCCATCCAGCACATGCAGCGCCACCCCCCTTCCAAAAACGCCTCATAACCTAATAATCCCAATACATAGCATAGAATACACACACACATACACACACACACGCACAGATGCATGCATAGGCAATTAGTAGTGTGCAGATAAGGACACCACACACACATGCATAAATGATAGTAATGCACCAGTGGCCAATGAACTTGAATGTGAAGGAGGGGAAATGCTGCGGGACTTCATGATATTGCGTTTAGGCTTCATAGATCACATTTAGTGGATGGATGGTGCTTAATTAAAGGGGAAATACGAAAGGCCAAAGGCGTCTTTTTTTGTGTGTGAAGCGTGCGTGCACTGATGGCATTTTGTGTGCGCGCGCGCGCGCGTGTGTGTGTTTTCACCTACAGTCAAGGTGCTTCTTCTTGGGTCCGCTCACTTCGTGCGTCGTGGCCTTGCAGACGGCTTTGCTGATGGCCGAGCCGCTCATGCTGTGCTGCGCGGCGACGATCCGGTCCGTCAGAGTCGGCCAGGACATGGTGGAGGAGGAGCGGCTTCGGCTGGAGCCTGGAGGAGGTGACGGGGATTGGGGGGTGGGGGGTGAGTAGTAGTAGAGGACGATCAAAATGTCTTTAGTGGAGGGGAGGAGGTGGGTAATGCCCTCTGCGAGGATCGGCCGTCTCTGCTCCGGGAGGATGATGAGAAGGAGAAGGAAGCGGGCAGTGAGCAGCGACGAGTCATACGTTCAGTTAAAAAAAGAAATGAAAAAGAGGGAAAAAACTACATTTGCCGTAATAGTAAGGCATTCGGATGCGGAAATGAAACAAAGCTTATCGCCGGAATGTCCCGAGTGTCCGTGAACGCAACCCGGCCGATGCTGATGAGAGTGCGAATAAGGCTCACGGAAAAAAAAAAATCACCAAATCAACACAAAATCGTCCATGATTCAACTGTCCTCCGTCCAAATACGACGAGATGAAATTTTTAGACTTCCTCTTCTTCTTCGCGTGTCCCCTCAACGTCTCCCCGAATGCACAACGTTCGCTTTCTGCAGCCGGTCTTCTTACAAAAGCCTGAATTCCTCTGTAGAGGTCGCCCCATAGGCTGGTGGTGCGCGTGCGTGCGTGCGTGCACGTGTCAGTCAAACTTATGTGCAAAATGGCAGTGCGATGAATCAGGTGACTAAAGAAGGAGTCTGAGATTGGGCCACTTCTCGAGACAGGGGAGCTAATCTTAAAGCAGAAGGCATTAAAAAAAAGTATCTATTATTTTTAAGGTTTCAGCTATTTCATTATCATCTCAGTGCATCAGACCAATGAAATAGGGACACAAGGGGAAGCAAATGTGCCTTTAACGTACATGATGCGTCCCATTATGGCCATTTTTTTGGTCGCACAATGTTGTAATATTTCTTTTATAAAAGCAATTTTAAAAAATGCAACGACACAAAAATGCATGGTTGTAGTCAACAAGCATCCCCCTTTTTATGATACTCCTGTATGTAGATCAAAACATAAAGGCTCTAATAATAATAGCAACACTGACTGGATCATTCATTAGATACACCCAATGAACCCAAGTAGCCTATAAGAGTTGTACTAAAAATGAATTCAAACATATATTCTTTATTGAATTAAAAAAGACTTTGTAAAATTAAATTGAAAATAATACTTAACCTTGGGGTATTTTTGCATGAAAGCATGTCACAGATATATTATAAAAGCACCTGCGGAGTGATTTGAAATCAGACACAACAATGCATGTGTCCTTATGAGAGGCTGTTTACGTCGCTGCTGTTTTGGTTAGCAACAGTATCCAAATGCACTCAACTATACGACTAACAGGGAGACACTATTTCAATAAATTGCGCAAGTGTACCTAATGAACTACCCAGTGGGTGTGCTTTCACAGTCGTCATGAGTGGAAAAAAGAACAATGGTGACAACATAAGTAGAGCAGCATTAAGTCGACTGGGTTGCATGTGCAGTGTGGCACATAGAGTGAACAGTTACCAGTGTGTTGCATCACAAGACTTAAATGTGAGTGAATAGAGTCAGCGTGCCATTAATACATGTTTAATAGAGTTAATTCCTCTCATTATGAAAGAGGTCTTTGATATAACTTAACACAAAGGCAGACATGTTCCATATTCAAAAGCATTCACTTGAATGATAAATACAGTCGATTATTTGTAGAACTGTTATCGTTCACGTTCTGCGTCCACTTCCTGCTTATCTGTGATTGGCCAGGCCAGGACTCATCGTTTGGGACATGACAAGCAGCCGAGGTGCTCCTTGGTGGCATTGGCGTACCCCGAGAGGACCAGGGCGGCGGGCTCTCGCTCGGTTGGGTGGCTCTCCTCGTTGCTCAGGATGTGCTCCACCAGACAGTGAGCAGCCTCCTCGATGTTGCTGTTTTCCTAAGGGAGGGAAAACCATCAAGCCATCTGTCCATTTCCTGAGGCGCTTTTCCTCATTAGGTGAGTTGGAGCCTCTCTCAGTTGACTTTGGAAGAGAATTGTGGTGCATCTTGTCGTCAGCCACTCCCGGGGCGCATACAGACAAATAATTCACACCTCCAAACAATTCAATAATCTTTACCATGCATGTTTTTGGAATGTGGGAGGAAGCCAGAATAACCAACAAAGGTGCAAACCCGGATCTCTTGACTGTAAGGTAGACGTCCTAATCACTAGCTAACTGTGCTACTGGAAAATAACAATAGAAAATGGAATGTAGTGCAAAAGTAAAATAGACTTTAAACATAGCAAGCCATCATCCATTCATTACGTCTAAGGGGGAAAAACATGCGCTCAAAAAAAATTACACTCCTCAGCCATTTTATTATTAGGTACTATTCAGCACTGTTGGGTGGAAACCCTATTTGTCCAAATATGGTCAATTTCATATGAATATGTTTTTTTTGCCTATGACAATGCCGAGTCAGCTCATTGTTTTACTTACACTCATTTGCTTTCGATAAGTATGAGAGAATTTGTCTGGTTTAGGGGGTTGGCCTGAGGACAGAATTTGACATGTTCTTACCATTTTAATCAATGACAGCATAATTAAAAAAAAAAAAACTCAGTGATTGAACGTGATTTTGGAGTGGTGCATTGTGACGTTGGTGCACAACCATATACGATTTCAATATTGAGGTATCAACTTAGTATCATATGACTGGAAAGGCATGGAGACGATGACATTTAGTTACTTTGGATTAACTATAGTATGTCTTGCAGGTGGTGCCTCCTGTTTGATTTAGGCCTTCCTAGCCCCGCTGAAGTACTTGATGGTAAACAACATGCAATGCAGAAAACCTTGGCAGAGGTCTGGAACCAGCCGACGAAGCCGTTGTCTCTGCAGAAGGCATCCAGTCTGGTCTGCGTGCATGCCGCTTGGTCAGCCTTGTTGGCTAATAGGACGGCGGGAACGGGTCTCCCGTGGTTCAGTGTCACCTTCGGACATAAACAGGATTGAAAGGTATAAAATATATCCTCATGTCTGTTTGTTGGGTGACGGGGGAATTCTCGAAACAGTGAAATAGTAAACCAGCATTGGGAATGATCATGACTTGAGGAACAGAAAGAAGTCAGTTGAAGTTGAAGAGAAAAGTTATGACCTTGGAATCCAGGTCGTCTTTCCACTTGAGCACGGCGTCAAATGTGGACGCCCGTGTGCTGTCAAAGACCACCAGCGCTCCCACCGCCTCCCGGTAGTAGACGCGCGTCATGTTGCCATAGCGCTCCTGTCCTACGACACAGACGTATATAGATTAGCCGATATGCTAAAGTGTTAGCAAAAGACAACTAGAACAACTGAACTTTATTTGGGCTTCATTAGAGTCACTTAAAATGGTGGCAGATACAAATCCCTCTCTAAGTAAAGCTCAGTTGTATTTATCTTTTTACTACAATACATTTAATCTTTTGGAATGGTTTGTTTTTAAACAATCCCATCTTGACTATGACTGTTTGGATGTTTACTTAAATCATGGCCGGTAAAGCCTTTAGGATGGCAACAGTGTAACCCAGGAACAGACCAATCTGCATTATATCCAGAGGGAGGGGGAGAAAAAGCGCTTGTTAGCTTTTGCATGTTTTGATTCTGTCATGTGACGGACATTTTCCGCATGGGAGTCACTGGCCACATTCCACAAGCAGGCAACAAATGACTGGCATTGGGAGGGGCCGTGACACTAACGCACACAGTCAAACTCACATAGGGTCTTTTTGAAAGTTACTTGGACATTTCCATTGCCATAAGGTTGTCATAACATTTGTAGAAAATACATAAACATTGTTTTTATGGGTAATAATGTGCTTGCAGTGCACCAAGGGATGTCCTTGTGTTTAGGAGGCATGCTAAGAACAATTTCAATATTCTGCACTCAACTTTATTTAAAGGTCAACATATGCTAAGCATACAGTTGGACAATTATAAAAAAAAAAAAAAAAAAAAAAAAAAAAAAAAAAAAAATTTTTTGTTTGACAAAAAAAAAAAG